AAAATATAAAAATTAAATCATTTATATTTTCTCATTTTATTTGTATTATCTTATTATTTTAGTGGATAGAATAAGTACGTTTTGGGCTAAATTCATTTCTATGATATTTAAGTCCCATTCTCGCGAGCCGCGACTCATCATGATTCTTAACTTGTCGCGATAGGCTACATGAGAGGACTCTCTTTTCATTATTTTCCCGCTTTAGCAAGTTAACTGAATAATGGAAATTCGTTGTATTTTTTAATAAACCCGTGAATAAAAAAGTGGTGGACTGAGTCACTGCTGGCTGAATTGGACAGGTGATTTTCACATGAAGCGATGGCCTTGAGTGTGGCGTGTGACACAGTATTCAGTTGTGACTACAACGGCATCAGTCCTCTACTAAGCATGTACGCAAGCCTTAAGATTCACCCTCAGCTTGTGACAGCTGAAATGGATCTTGTGAAATGTGCGATTGCATCGCCAATCACTCTCGAGAAGCTTAAAGATGAAGTACGAAAGGACAAATATCCAAACTTTTTCAGACTACTGCAGCTTGCACTCACGCTGCCCGTTGGTTCGGCTACATCAGAAATAAGTTTTTCATTTATGAGGAGAATAAGAAACTGGCTCTGATCTAGCACACAGAGAACGATTTGACTGAAAATTTATCAAAATGAAAGAAAGATAGTGGTCATCTAAGCAATTCAGAAAAAGAGGCGGCTTTTCTGCATTAGTTAGGCTGTTTTTTTTAATAATAATAATTATAATAATTCATTTTATTTAATGGCGCCTTTCTAAACACCCAAGGCCACCTTACAGCAAGCAAACTAGTAAAAACAGTAACAACAAATAAACAAGTCCTGCCAGCATTACAAAATTCAACAGCACAACTGCATACATCATAAATACAATAAAGGCTTACAAGAGCAATAATAAGAGCAATTAATAAGAGCAAGTCATATGAAAGCCTGGGTAAAAAGATTAGTCTTAAGGCGAGATTTAAAAGTATGAAGGCTGTCGCTGTTCCATCTATTGGGGGGAAGAGAGTTCCATAGGCAAGGGGCAGCAAAACTAAAAGTTCTTGCTCCCATGGTGCTTAAACATATACGCGGCGACACAAGAGAGATCGAGTGTGAAGATCTGAGAGTGCGAGGAGGAGTATAGATGTGGAGAAGGTCAGTAAGATACGGTGGAGCAAGGTTGTGAAGTGCCTTAAATGTGAAAAGCAAAATTTTAAAATCAATGCGATACTTTACTGTGAGCCAGTGTAAACGCTGGAGAACTGGAGAAATGTGCTCTATTGATGAAGTCCTTGAAAGAACACGAGCTGCTGAGTTCTGAACCAATTGGAGTTTATAGAGAAGTTTAGAAGGAAGACCAGTAAGGAGAGCATTACATTTGTCGATACGTGAGGTAACCAGTGCATGAATAAGAATTGCAGTATTATTTGTTGTGAGAGAGGGACGAAGGCGATTAATATTACGCAGGTGAAAAAACGCAGTACGCGTAATATTATTGACATGAGCTTCAAAAGAAAGTGTGCTATCCAGAATGACACCCGAACTCCTGACCTGCTGAGAAGGACAAATTGCATTATTATCGATATCCACTGTAAAACAATTAGATTTAGTCAAAGTAGATATTGTACCAATAAGTAAGACCTCAGTTTTATCACTGTTGAGTTTTAGAAAGTTGGCTGAAAGCCAGTCTTTAATTTCAGCTAAATATCTACCCCCGGTTTCACAGACAAGGCTTATGCTAGTCCCAGACTAAAATGCATGTTTGAGCTGTCTCAACTGAAAATATCTTGCTCTGACATATCTTAAAATATGTCAGTGTCATTGTTCTGTGTCAAGATGCACACCTGTAATGTTTTCTTCTAAGGCATTTTTGTAAAAGTTGCTTAAATATCTTAATTTAACTAAGGCCTAGTCCTGGCTTAAACTAAGCCCCGTTTGTGAAACCGGACCCTAGTCAAAGAAGGTGGAGGAAAAGAACTAGAAGGTTTAGAAGACCGGTAGAGCTGGGTGTCGTCGCATAGCAGTGAAAATGGATACCATATTTCCTGAGAATATAGCCAATAGGAAGTAAATAGATGATGAATAAGAGTGGGCCCAAAACAGAACCCTGAGGGACACCAGTAGTAACTGTAGATGGTCTTGATTTAAATTTTTTAATTTGAATATGCTGAGTGCGACTGGTAAGATAGGACCTAAACCAGGACAGTGGGGTGCCAGTAATCCCTATAGAAACTAACCTGTCCAGAAGTATCTTGTGCGAGATCGTATCAATGGCCGCACTCAGGTCAAGAAGGACAAGTATTGTTAATAAACCAGAATCAGCTGCCAATAACAAATCATTAGTAATTTTGACAAGAGCAGTCTCTGTACTATGATGAGGACGAAAATCATATTGTAATTGCTCAAACAATGTATTATTGGAGAGATGATTGTGAACTTGCACTGCAACACATTTTTCCAAGATTTTAGAAATGAATGGCAAATTAGAAATTAGTCGATAATTTTCAAAATTTGATGGATCAATGCCTGATTTCTTTAGAATAGGGGTAATAATAGCAGTTTTAAGAGAAGAAGGTACAGAACCAGAAACAAGTGAAGAGTGAATAATTTTAGTAATTAATGAAGACAGAGATGGTAGACAGGCTTTAACTAAGCAAGTAGGCAGTGGGTCAAGCTGACAAGTGGTAGTTTTAGATTTCCGAATATGACACAATATCTCCGCAGCAGTTGGTCAAATAAAAGTAGTAAGATTAGAGTGCACAGTCACTTGGGAGACTTGAAAAATGGAATCGTAACCTAAGTTGCTGGAAAGTAATTGCTGATTAATCTTTTTAATCTTAGACTCAAAAAAAGTCATAAAACTGTTGCATAGTTCTGTAGAACACAAATTAAACGGCAGAGTGTCAGATGGACACAGAAAATTCTTCATTACAGAAAAAATAAATCTAGTTACCTTCACTAGCTTGCTAGCGAGCATTTCTTTATGAATGAATGAATGATGCATTTATATAGCGCTTTATTGTGTATTGTTGTACACCCAAAGCGCTTTACAATCATGTGGGGGGGTCTCTCCTCAACCACCACCAGTGTGCAGCATCAACCTGGATGATGCAACGGCAGCCACAGGACAGTGGCGCCAGTGTGCTCACCACACACCAGCTACAGGTGGAGAGGAGAGAAAGTCATAGAGCCAATCAAGTGGTTGGGGATTATTAGGAGGCCATGATTGACAAAGGCCAGGGGGGCAATTTGGCCAGGACATGTACAGTTTATGTACAGTAAGACCGGATTTAGCATATAAACGCTCTAGCCTACGGCCTTTAGTTTTAAGCAGACGCAAATCAGAGGTAAACCAGGGAGCAGAGAGTGTAAAAGAAACAGTTCGAGTTCTGACAGGTGCAAAAACATCCAAGATCTCAATTAGTCCATTATTATAATAGGAAACCAGAGGAGTGGTTCCACAGTGGAGAAATCAGCTTTGCAGGAGAAGCTGGCAAGTTCATCAGCAAAATTAGGCACATCAATGTTCTTAATGTTTCGGAATGTGATAGAACGACACGGGCTTAATTTGAAGACTGAGCACAAAAGTGCTCTTAACTCTTTGTACAGCAGTTATTATTATTCATTCTAAATGTATTTTTAATGTAGAATAGAAATGTAGAGCATATAAAAAAGTGCTTGTGGCTCATCTGCCGGTCCCCTCAATGCAGTGAAGTCGTCCTGTACTCTTAGCAGAAAAACAGCCCCAAAGCATAATGTTTCCAGCTCCGTGCTTGACTGTAGGGATGGTGTTCTTGGGGTCATAGTCAGCATTTCTCTCCCTCCAAACACGGCGAGTCGAGTTAATGCCAAAGAGCTCAATTTTGGTCTCATCTGACCACAGCACTTTCTCCCAAGCCTTCTTTGAATCATTTAGATGTTCTTGGGCATACTTTAAACGGGCAAAAAAAATAAATAGCCCACTCCCCTCTCACAAGTCACCTTAGAGAGGAATTCATTTTCAAAAATAAAATTCAGGCCCTGAGTAAATGTCTAAAATTCCTGATTGCAGGATTCCTTACTATAAATAATTCTACATGATAAAAAGAAGGCTTTAAAAAGATCGTTATCTGTGATCGTATCAGCAGATACTGCTTTCTGTGATCGGCCTCAAAAATCCTCATGACACGATGTGTATTCGAATAATTGATACTAATGCAATAACTTGCTTGTGTAGTGTTCTTTGCACTTCACCGCTAAAGGTTCTGGGTTGCTTTAAGACCCAGGAGCAAGCTTCTTTTTTCTCCGCTCTCCCTGCCTGTGTGAGGAGTGTGTGCAATCAGACCCCAAACTGTAGGCACAGTAATAATTTGCATAATAAAACCGCCTAAAATCTGTTTATCAGTAACCTGTGTTATGTGTGGATCATTTCCTGAACAAACGAACAAAGTTACACTCTGTATTTTGGAATGCGTGTTTAACGTGGAGTTGGATTTTAGTCCAACTGTATACATGCTGGATGAAATCAAAATACGACTGGTTTGATTTCACAAAGACCAGACAATTTTGATTGGATGAACATGTTTACATAGAAATTTAAAAAGTCATATTTTTGCTTTTGTTTGATGGAAATCAAATTATGTGTAATGTAAAAGTACTGGATCAAGTGAAAGGAAACATTTAAAACCTTAATGACCCAAAATAGCAGAGCTGATGAGTGAACAACTGCTGCAAGAGAAATCACTTTAATTAATAATTTAAATCACTATAAATGTAATGTTGCTCATGACAACAAATCAAAAGTGCAATTCTTGTGTTTCAAGCTGCTTATCAGTAGTTTCAGCAAGCCATAATATACATGTATAATAATATACATTATATATGAAATCTGGATGAATGTCCTCATAAAATCAACAGAAAACACAGATGATAATTTTATTGATTTTAAATAAGCAGTCATACAGTAAAAACACCTTTTTTTTTTTTGCATAAATCAAACATTCAAACAGGTTTAAAAAAAAATTTAAACATTTCAATGTATTTCACAAAGTCTATAAGCACTTCATATAAACCCACAAGATGTAGCTCACGTGCCTAAAGCATGATTTATTAAAATATACTTTATTATAGCATAAACTCTGAATACACTTTACTTGACCACCTTTCGCAGCTCAGCCAAGACCCAGATGGCGAAGGTGAGCAGTGCCACTGATCCGGACTGATGAGTGGCTGCCAGCGGGGTGGGAACATAGAGCAGCAGGGTACTAATGCCCAAAACCACCTGAGAATTTCATCATAAAAAAAAAAAACACATTATATTAGCACCATTATATATGAAGGTTAATATCACAGCTTATAAAATAAAAAAAATAGCTTTAATCCAGATAGTTCTAGCTAATACTGAGATGATACCAGTCCAATTTATATTTATTTTTCAAAGTGACCCTTTTTACCACACCTTAACACACATTAAGCCATATGTTGTAGCACTGGTCTTGTTTGTTAAAGTAAACTGATAGAGTATAGCTGATAGTTAATTGTTTTTTTTTAACAGCAAGGTAAAAAAAAATACTGATAAAATGACAAATAGTGTGTCACTACAATACTAGAGGAAATAGTCTGCTGTAATAGTTCTCTACACCATTTACTGAAATAGTACTTTAAAATTTGCTAGAAGAAATGCACAATAATAATAATTATTATTGCAAGAATACCTAAATCTTGTGTATTTCGAAGGTAGTTTAAGTTTACATTTAAATTTAAAAGTATGTATACTGTATGTATACTGTGCACCAATGTTTTTTTTTCAATCCTTTAAAAAGGATACTGTTTTATTACAATATGACAATGTTTGTGTTAAGTTCATAATTTAATACATTTCTCATAATGTAACGACCTTTATTACATTAAGAGTTTAAGATTTAATTACATTAAGAAAATTATGACATGAACATTTTATTACATGAATAATGTAATTAATTTATGCAGTTAATTACGAGTAGCTTTAGAGAAAAATTCAGAGAAAAGCCTGTGCAACTGTGGTGTAATTAGTAAAAATATAAATGCCACATTGTGGTCAGTTCTCACAGAAGTTGGCACACAGCCTCGCTTTGACTATAGTGTGTTCAGAGAGTGTTTCAGAGAGTACTGAAGACATCACATTGACATAAGTATTCAGGCCCTTAACTCGGTCAGTTGAAGCACCTTTGGCAGCGATTCTAGCCTTTTTGGTATGATGCCACAAGCTTTGTACTTCTGGATTTGGGGATTTTCTGTCATTTTCCTCAGCAAATCCTCTCAATCCGTGTCAGTTTGGATGGGGACTGTTGGTGAACAGCCACTCTTAGATCCCTGTCTAAGAGGGATCCTTAGAAGTCTGGACTCTGGCTGGGACACTCAAGAATCGTTGTTAAATCAAGCTGAGCTTGGTCCAATATGATATCTCTCTATTCTGCTTTGTTCACCTTTCCTTTTAACCTTCTAGTCCCTGATGCTAAGAAACACTTGCACAGCATGATGCTGCCACCGATGGGATCGCATTGTGCATAAGCTGTGCCTGGTTTCCTAGCAGACATGATGACTGGAACTGCAGTTCATCAGACCAGACGATCTTGTTTCTCACAGTCTCAGAGTCAGGCTTCAGTCTGGCCAATCTGACATAGACCTCAGATCAGTGAAGTCCTTCTGTGAGTCTCCTGTCTCCACACATGATCTCTGTATCTCAACCAGTGTGATCATCAGGTTCTTACTTCACCTCTCTTTCTATCCTTACTGCTCAGTTTGGCCAGGTGACCAGCTCTATGAAGAGTTCTGGTTGTTCCAAACATCTTCCATTAAGAATTATGGATCCCACTGTTCTCTTGGGAACCTTCAGTGAGGCAGATGTTTTTGTAGGCTTTCCCGTTTGACACAATGCTGACTCTGAGATCTGCAGGAAGTACCTGTGACCTCATGGCTTGGTTTTTGAATATGGTTGGTTTATTATATTGACAGGTTTGTGCCTTTCCAAATCATCTCAACTCCATTCAGTGTGTAGAACCATCTCAAAGATGATCCAGAGAAATGGGATGCACCTAAGCTAAATTTTTTAAGTATCATAGCAAAGGGTCCGAATACTTACGTCAATGTCAACGACATAACTAGCTGTTGAAATCCGATTGGCTACAGGTGTCCATATTTGTTTATTTGAAGGATATGTTCGCATTTGCACCAAAAAAGATGCATGTCAGTTGTCAATTTATTTGATCCTATGCAAGCAGAGCTATGATGATTTCTCAATCGTTGTTTCCTCAAAGCATTTCCAATGTGTCAAATTTCGTTTAGACACTGCTTTCAGTAGCTATAGGTAAAGGAGCAAAAAATGAACATCTGACCATTTAATTTATTTAGGCAGTAACTTTTCAATTTTCAGATTTTTTTTTTTTTCAGGCATAATAATAACAATAATAAAGACAACAAAAATCTGATCAAACACAAAAGCACATTCAAGCACAAATTGGTTAATAATAATTTTAGAAGAGGAAGAAGAAGAAAATCGGTGCAAATACAATAGGACTGGACTCCTAATGAGTGTATAGTGCTGTATATGGTGCAGTTTTGCTTTTTACTTGTGTATAGGCCATGGCTGTGAGACAGCCAATCGCGATCTTCGCCCGTCTGGGCAGATGGACCCGTCTGGAGAACAGGTAGAGTCCTGTGATGGCTGTCAGTGAGCCGATGCCCTGCACAAACATGAAACACCTCAGCTAAACCACATCTGCTAGAGCAGACACATTTCAGCTGACAGGAGCAGTGCTTACCAGAATGCGATGGTCAAACTGAACTGTGCTGGGATTTTCAAACACGTTCTTGATGGCTGGGGAAAAAGCCAGAAGATCATCAGGGATCCAGCGCTCGCCCATCTTTGGGAAAGAGTTATAAACCAAACCCGCATCCAGTCCCGCAACAAAGGCGCCTGTAAGAGACCATGAAAAAAAGCACTTCATTATTACACAGACTGTCAAATTAGACCAATCAGCCTTCACAAATATGTTCCTCCTGTTCTGATGTATTGAGAGATACAGACTACACATCCAAGTTCAATTTAAGTTATGTAGTCTTGACAACATTTCCTCCATGTAAACAGTTCTTTATAGATACTAGTGCAGTATTACTACTAAAGTATTTTATAATAACATTACATCGGCGTTAATTTATTATTTATATAATTGTGTCCCATGTTATAACCTCCATGTCATAACATAAAAATTACAGAAATGGCTGATTACTCTACAAGCGAGCAAAAGAACAATAGCCTAGTTTTCAAAACATGGACTAGAAGCTGTTTTATGTCATTATATTTATTTAATATTTGTAACAAACTTAAATTGTTTGCAATTTACATGTAATAATTAGAAACACTATGCACTTCAATAACTCAAATGACACATTTGACAAAACAGTTTACATAAAATAGCAGGTTTGCATATTTACTGCTTGTATTCAATGTGTAATTTGAAGCCATTTTTGATTGGATCGTAGAAAGTGTTGCTGTTTTCTAATTGCTGTGATCATTTTGAGTGAGAGGCTGCTGAGGAGGAAACATTGAACTCATATGTGACCCTGGAGCACAAAAGCACTCAGTATTTAGATTTTTTTGAACCCTCAGATTCCAGATTTTCAAATAGTTGTATCTCGGCCAAATATTGTCCTATCCTAACAAACCATACATCAATGGAAAGATTATTTATTCAGCTTTTATTCAGCTGGTTTTGTGGTCCAGGGTCACATTTGTCCTCTGGACAACCCCTGTGCATATGGTTTTAAAAGAATAATTTATAATAAAACTGCAACACACAAGTTATGTCATGCATTTGCTCATACCAGAGAGAGCCGTGAGGAAGACCAGACCGCCCGTAACCTTGGCAAACCTCCTTAACTGCAGCAAATTCCTGCTGTCAGGAATCTACAGTGGAGCAGAGACGGCAGTATGATCTGTAACGCATCCAAACCTCCTCAAACAGCAGCAGGCAGAGCTGAAATCACAGCTTACCTTGTTGGCAGGCAGCATGAGAGTGAGTCCCGTCCAGAGACTGGAGCAGTACAGCAGCAGAGCGGAGCCCAGATGAGCCGCCAGCCTGTACTGACTGACACGGGGAATGTCGTGCGATTCGGTTTTCTCCTCCAGACCGCTCTTCACCATGTACCATCCCAGAAGACCCTGAGCATGTGCATCCATTAACAGATCTTAATTACACAACACAATCTGAACTAACTGAAACTAATGACAGGATGGGGGGTTGTAAAGAAGTAGTTCTATATATCAAGACAAGTTGTATATACTAAATGAAATGGAAGAAACTTTAAATAATTAACTAATTACTCTAATGGTGACTTTAAACATAACACAACTTTTACAACAAAATATAATCAAAAATACTACAAATAGTTTAAACATCTATTAATTATGAATGACAAATATATTTGGAATAAGTCTCCATGCCTTAACCATAAAAAAAATATTCAAGTGCATCATCAATGACCACACTGAGCAGCTCAGCAGTCTATTAGTTCACCAGCATTAAACCTAACACTATAAGTTCTTGCTGTTTAATATTTTAAGTTGCTCATAGTAAATGGACAAAAAAGGGCTTTATTTATATTTATATTTTTACTTTTACTTTTAATTAAGCACTAATAATAATTCATAAATATAGCTGCAAGCAGCAATTAAGGGGCCAAGCACAACAGAGGTAAAATGAAGAGCTAATGAGCTGTCTTTAATTGCTCAGTAAAGACCAGTGGCCTGTAGCACAAAGCGAGATGAACAAACTCAGAGTTTCAGAGTAGGTTTAGAGTTGACAAAACCAAACAAAGCCAACCTGGTTTAGACCAGGATCAGCGGGCTCATAAAGCTCGATATAGACGTTCTCTGTCAACTCAAGAGTTTGAACCAGAGTTTGTGATTTAAAAAAAAAGGCGTGACACATGCAGCAAACAGCCAATCACAGGGAACGTGTGGAGGGCATCAGCAAAGCGTCAGTTTGACAGTTTCATTTCTTGCGAGAGTCAGCGCAATTCACTTCTCTGCTGAAGATTAAGAGATGTCGTTATTAAAAATAAATTTAAATGCATTTACAAGGCAGGAATAAACACTTCTGCTGCAGCAAAAGTTTGGCAGCAGAAAGAAAATATATGACAATGCAAATGAATCAACTGAATTTAATTATTTATATAGTTTCACTAGAGCTCATGTGTGAAAACATGTAAGTTTAGTCATTTTAAAAGTTGGATATACTGTATTAAAGCTTATCTTTATGTATCTATATATTTAATTTAATTGCAAAGCTTAAAATCAATTCACTTCATATAATAATTATATGAATATGTTATATGAATTATAAACAATTATAATTAATATAATATAAACATAATAAATAAGTAGTCGCATAAGTCTGGCAATTTTGTCTCTAAAATTCCAACTGCTATAATTTGGAGCGAGAGATACGGGGGAGTGGCTTCATTGCATCAGATGTCACTTTGCTCACAGCTGATTGGTCCAGTTTGGGTTTGCAATCTCTAACCCAGAATAAAACCAGCTCCGGAGCAGGGTAGCAGTGTGGCGTAAATTACAGATAAAGTTACAGTTAAAATTAGATATTGTTCGATTCAGCATGCCGTTTCGAATCTAGCGAAACCAATCTTATGATTTTTGGCCAAATTGGTCAGAAGTTATAAGCAGAAATGTCAATATTTTATATATTTTGACCAGTAGGTGGTGCTGTGACGAAACTACTTCCGCTCTTCACCATGTACCATCCCAGAAGACCCTGAGCATGTGCATCCATTAACAGATCTTAATTACACAACACAATCTGAACTAACTGAAACTAATGACAGGATGGGGGGTTGTAAAGAAGTAGTTCTATATATCAAGACAAGTTGTATATACTAAATGAAATGGAAGAAACTTTAAATAATTAACTAATTACTCTAATGGTGACTTTAAACATAACACAACTTTTACAACAAAATATAATCAAAAATACTACAAATAGTTTAAACATCTATTAATTATGAATGACAAATATATTTGGAATAAGTCTCCATGCCTTAACCATAAAAAAAATATTCAAGTGCATCATCAATGACCACACTGAGCAGCTCAGCAGTCTATTAGTTCACCAGCATTAAACCTAACACTATAAGTTCTTGCTGTTTAATATTTTAAGTTGCTCATAGTAAATGGACAAAAAAGGGCTTTATTTATATTTATATTTTTACTTTTACTTTTAATTAAGCACTAATAATAATTCATAAATATAGCTGCAAGCAGCAATTAAGGGGCCAAGCACAACAGAGGTAAAATGAAGAGCTAATGAGCTGTCTTTAATTGCTCAGTAAAGACCAGTGGCCTGTAGCACAAAGCGAGATGAACAAACTCAGAGTTTCAGAGTAGGTTTAGAGTTGACAAAACCAAACAAAGCCAACCTGGTTTAGACCAGGATCAGCGGGCTCATAAAGCTCGATATAGACGTTCTCTGTCAACTCAAGAGTTTGAACCAGAGTTTGTGATTTAAAAAAAAAAGCGTGACACATGCAGCAAACAGCCAATCACAGGGAACGTGTGGAGGGCATCAGCAAAGCGTCAGTTTGACAGTTTCATTTCTTGCGAGAGTCAGCGCAATTCACTTCTCTGCTGAAGATTAAGAGATGTCGTTATTAAAAATAAATTTAAATGCATTTACAAGGCAGGAATAAACACTTCTGCTGCAGCAAAAGTTTGGCAGCAGAAAGAAAATATATGACAATGCAAATGAATCAACTGAATTTAATTATTTATATAGTTTCACTAGAGCTCATGTGTGAAAACATGTAAGTTTAGTCATTTTAAAAGTTGGATATACTGTATTAAAGCTTATCTTTATGTATCTATATATTTAATTTAATTGCAAAGCTTAAAATCAATTCACTTCATATAATAATTATATGAATATGTTATATGAATTATAAACAATTATAATTAATATAATATAAACATAATAAATAAGTAGTCGCATAAGTCTGGCAATTTTGTCTCTAAAATTCCAACTGCTATAATTTGGAGCGAGAGATACGGGGGAGTGGCTTCATTGCATCAGATGTCACTTTGCTCACAGCTGATTGGTCCAGTTTGGGTTTGCAATCTCTAACCCAGAATAAAACCAGCTCCGGAGCAGGGTAGCAGTGTGGCGTAAATTACAGATAAAGTTACAGTTAAAATTAGATATTGTTCGATTCAGCATGCCGTTTCGAATCTAGCGAAACCAATCTTATGATTTTTGGCCAAATTGGTCAGAAGTTATAAGCAGAAATGTCAATATTTTATATATTTTGACCAGTAGGTGGTGCTGTGACGAAACTACTTATGTGCCCTCAGGTCATGCTTGTTATAACACTTACCAAGTTTGATCAGAATCTGCTAAAGCATTGTGGAGATATAGCATCATGTCCTTTTTTGCACAAACTTTGTTAAATTCGTTAGCATGTTTTATGAAATTGCTTTGGTATATCTAAAAGCTTTTGATAACTTTTTGCCAGAATGCTCTGAAGATGATCTGAGCCAATTTTGGTGAAAATTGGACAAACCGTCTAAGACCAGTTAGAAAAAGTAGTTATTTGGGAAAATTCAAAATTCAATTCAAATTTGCTGTAGTTAATGACGAGACTGTCCTCTATCCGTGTGCCGAATTTGATAACTTTCTCACAAGCAATTCTATAAGATTCACAACCATGCGTTAAAGCGTTTGCAAAATACAGCATTTTACTACATACAGCGGGTAAAATGAGTATTGAACGCGTCACCATATTTCCCAGTAAATATATTTCTAAAGGTGCTGCTGGCATGAAATGTTCACCAGATGTCGGTAACAACCCAAGTAATCCATACATACAAAGAAATCAATTCAAATAAGTTCCGAAATTAAGTTCTGTGTAATAAAATGGAATGACTCAGGGGAAAAGTATTGAACTACTGAAATTTATTTAATACTTCGTACAAAAGCCTTTGTTGGTAATGACAGCTTCATGACGCCTCCTGTAGGAGAAACTAGTCGCATGCATTGCTCAGGTGTGATTTTGGCCCATTCTTCCACAGTGTCTTCAAATCTTGAAGGTTCTGTGGGCCTCTTCTATGAACTCTGACCTTTGGTTCTTATTTTTTATTCAAGTCAGGTGATTGGCTGGGCCATTCTAGCAGCTTTGTTTTCTTTTTCTGAAACCAATATTTTGGCCCATTCTTCCACAGAGTCTTCAAATCTTGAAGGTTCTGTGGGCCTCTTCTATGAACTCTGACCTTTAGTTCTTATTTTTTATTCAAGTCAGGTGATTGGCTGGGCCATTCTAGCAGCTTTGTTTTCTTTTTCTGAAACCAATTGAGAGTTTCCTTGGCTGTGTTTGGCATCATTGTCTTGCTGAAATTTCCACGCTTGTTTCATCTTCATTATCCTGGTACTGTAGGTGTTGGGAAGCAGCTCATATTAATTTCCACTGACGAGGGGCAGGATTGCTTTCTAATTACTCAGAGGGATTTTGCTTACAAATACTCACTATTGCTTAAAAGTAAAACCAACATAACATTAATGTTGGTTTTATTCCCATTTGCTCCAATAGCAAAATAAAAAACCATGGTAGCATTTCTATGACCTTACAGAAGAAAAAAAAATAAAGATATTGATTACATTGGACATAAGAAAAAGATGTTGAATTTGCCATTGCTGCATCAGCCTTTGCATTAGAAACACTCACACTGCAGCAGTAACTAGATTACTGTAATTTAAGAAAACAGTAATAGTAAAGTAAATCCACATCATATTTTTAATGAAATTTATATATATATATATATATATATAAAAGATTTACAAAACTGTGGAAACACGTCATCACAGTCTATGAAAAGGGTCCATAATGCTGGTTTTAATGAGAAATAAATTATATTAAACAGCCTCAAATGCACTGTGTCCACTTATATGAGTAATTATGGTAATCCTAACGAAACACTAAATGGAGTAGAATAGCAAACATCAAAAATACCTGTTCTTATGCACCATACATATTGGTTCAAGAGAGTAATTTTTCATTTATTAGATAGCTGCTTCATTTTAAGGGTTTAAAAGTCAAACAATTAAAGCCAACATTAAGGCTGCAGTCCGTAACTTTTTTTTGGTTAAAAATGATCTGAAATCAATATTTGAGCAAGTACATAACCAGCCAGTGTTCGAAACTATCGCCTTACTTTAGCCCGATTCACAACGGTTAGCTTATAATAATGTTTTCTACGGGTTTGGTACTGGTAGGTTTTCGCGGGAAATTCGAGCATGCTGCCGTCTCATTACGTCACGTCTGTAAACATAAAGAAGTTGTCCCGGCTACTAGGCTATCGCATGTGAAGATCCTGCAGGTGGTGGATCATTTATAGCCTTTTCTCACAGCAGCTGGAATAATAAAATGTATCATTTTGATGGCGGATTGTAATCCAGAAAGGATTATGTGTTTATGAAACACATGTGAATTAAATTAAATTATATTCCAGTTTTAAATGTGCTTCTGATTACAGATAGCCTGAGATTACACAAGATTTGTAGTTTAAAGACAACCAGTTCGAAGGGAGCATAATTTGCTTTTTGGGTTAAAAAGAATTTCTTAATATGAAATTCGAGTGGTATGACAATTAAGAGATTAGACTGTACAGAAACTGAAATCTACTCGCTTATACACTAGGGTTGTGACGGTGAGGAAATTGTCCCACCGGTTAATCGACGGTGGGCAAGTGACGTAACCGGTGTTGCGGCTTAACAACGGTATCACCGTCAGCACCGTCTATCGCAGCAAGCCTATTATACACACTATACTCATAGTCACGCAATGCATACAGTAAATACCGGTGCGGTGACTGACTGCCACACATACTCCTCAAAACATTAGATTCATCTGCCCTGAAGCTGTGCCGCCGCACAACCCACGCAAGGAGGATAATTCCGCACACTGCTGCAATTGCAGGTTTTCAAACAGAGATGGCGACAAAGAGGCAAAACTTACGGACTGCAGCTTTAAATTATTGGTTTCAGCTTAGATGTTATATTAAGACTTACTGTGCACTTGTTGTGAAGAACAAGGGCCAGATTTACCAAACAGGGAAAATTAGTCAATTTTCTCTCCTCCCAAAATTTTGCATCTGAAAGGGAAACTCCTACAATTCAAAATAACTGTGTCCAAGCCTTTTTAGAGCTAATTCTTCACTGCACATCTTCAGTAAATCCTGACAGTACTATTTTAACGCCAAAAGACGGTTTGCGCTGGCACAAGCTGTTAGTAAATCTGGCCGCTAGTGTAATCAACATACAGAGTAGGGCTGTGTATTGGCAAGAATCTGGCGATAAGATACGTATCACGGTACAGGAGTTGCGATACGATATGTTGCGATACATTGCGATACAGTAAGCAAGGCGATATATTGGGATATTTCTTATTTTAGGAATAGGATATATTTTTAGGAAAGCTGTCATAAAGAACACACCACCATATGCAAACCTTAGCAATAAATAAATCAAATAATTAAAAATTATTTAACCAGAACACAGTGGGATCTGCATTTGCAATAATCAGTCCCTGTAACATTCAACGTTATTGAACCACTTTTTGTGCAGTACGAGTCAAGGGGGAACAATTAAAGTGCTTGCAGGATCCTTTAGTTAAATGTATAATATGTATTTTATAAAAAGACCATATATTTTTTTTAGTCCCTGCTTTAAAGGTTCACATTTTAACTTTAACTTTGATCTGAACAAAAGAATTACATCTGCTTAATATCAATGAAAATTAGGGATGCACCAAATGTTCGGCAACCGAAATTATTCAGCCGAAAATAGCAACAAAAGCTCTTTCGGTGTTCGGCCGAATAAGCGAAAAGACCGAATAAATTGTACCGAACAATGACGTGACGCGATCAAATAGAGGCAGGCGCGCACTAATGCAACAAACATGTCGGCAGTGTGGAAACATTTAAAAGTGTCCGAGAAAGACGCAAAAATCATTACAAGCACAGACAGCGAGAGACTGATTAGCACTGCATCGCATGTCTTCGATGAGAAGAGGAAGGGGTGACTGCATCGCATGTCTCCGATGAGAAGTGGAAAGGGTGGCTGTTGCTGGTTACTGTATGATGACTGAAATCGCGAAATGCCCTTAAACAATTAAATAAACTACAGAACGTTGTGCTCACGGCGCCAGGGTTCAAAGTCCAAAGCGCGAGGAAAATCTGCGCTGAAACTGTGTTATTCGTCAGTTGCTCATTAACACTTTTCTGAATTTTTACAAGGCATGTGACAATGCGATACGTGCAACAAATGTCTTCCCAAATTCGGAATGAGAATCATTCATAATTCTACTGTTGTCAACAAAAAGAAGCACTGAGGTCTTCCTGCGGGTTTCTGCCAAAATAAAAGCTGAGAAATAGCAAGAACTCCATCAACATTAGTAAATGTTATTATTGTAATTTTACTGTTGTTCTGTAAAATAAAATAAAAAAGACAATAATAAGGATAATAATAATTGCAACAGCTCTATAAACACATTTATTATAGCATTCACACAGTGTTCAGACTGGGATCTGTAATATTTTCTAATGTTTTAAAAGAAGTCTCTTCTGCTCAGCAAGG